CATTCTAAAGAAAGGCTCTGGGGATCAATAGCTCACACAAGATCTAATGAAAAGCAAAAGAATCTGGCCTACAACCCCCAGCCAGGCCCCACTCCCACCGCAGCCAACCCCAACCAATTACATAAGGAGATGACTGGAGGGAGAGAAGAGAAGGTTGTTGAAGTCATTGTGCTTGTGGGGAATGTAGTATTCATGGAAAAAGGTACCTCCCAGCTCTCGAGACAATTCTCTCGGAGACTGTTGAATAGAATTTCTTAGCCCTTCCAAGATGAACAACTAGAGAATGTATTTGGGGAATGGCTATCTGCTAAGACTTGCTGAGCTGTTGCTGTGAATTAAAGAGAGATGGTGGTAGACTAAGAAAGAAGGTGACAATAGAGCAGCCAAGACTCTCATCCTTTACTGTGCTAAGGGTGTGTGAATTTCTCACAGGTCCAGGAGACACCAGAAAAGGAACTAATCATGAGATCTTTTTGCCAGTACCTCAACCAAGAGGGCTACCCTCCAGGCTAAGGGACTCCAGCACGAGGAGGTTGTGGGATATACCACTGTGGATGGGAACTGAGTAGAAGGAATTAGAAGTGCTTGTGCCAGAGAAGATGCCCCATGCCAAAGAAATGAGCCACTGGGAGATCTCACAGGACAGGGCAGAGAACTCACACCTGCCACTCCAAGAGGGATCAACTTTTTCAGTGCCTTTAACACACAGAAGCCGCCATCGGCAGCCTGTCAGGAGAAGCCAGAGGAGCAGCATAAACCAGTATAAACCAACAAAGGAAGAAGCACAACTCTACCCAGTTAAAAACAGGTTGACTTTTCAGCCCTTTCTTCCTCTTGTCCCCAAACACAGGAGTTGGAGTCTAGATGAGGAGGTGAAGGTAAGGGGGTACAAGAACAGACCGTGTTAAGCTCCCCACTTAGAGAACCTTGAATCATAAGAGGTGATTTGGGATGGAAAAGCTTTAGACCAAGTATGAGGGGAATTTTAAACTTGACTGGGTTGAGTTTTTAAATCTGAGAGTTTTCCAAATGTTATGAATCTGTCTATAATATCCTTAAAGAATGAAATGGAGGATTTGATAAATGTTAAAAGCACTGATTAAAGAAAAATAAAGCTTTTCATGTTTATACTCTACCCCGTTGAGATCCACCCCTTAATAAACAGTTCTTATTTGAATTTACACAAAGCAGAAACAAACTAAAACAAAACCTTCTTCCTTTATTTCCTTTTTTGTCTCCACCCAAATTCCCTTCAGTGTTCCCTCACTGTGACAGGATGCCCTGTTGGTTTGTGCTGGTTTCTGCTGCTCCTCTGACTAATCCCATCAGGCTGATGATGGTGGCCTCTGTGAAAGGCAATGAAAGAGCCGATCCCCCATGGAGATCTGTGATGTGTAAGTTGTTCCCCCCTTCCTGTGTCTGTTCTCCGGCGTGGGACATCCAGCCTGTCCCTCCAGGTCTTTGTTTGGCCTGTCTCTATATTACAGTAAGTGGTTAGGCTCCGCAGGCTATCTCATCTGGCACATACACAATCATTGCTTTGTGGTTACTGTTAGCTGATTTGATTCCAAGTCTATGCAAAAAGCATTGAACACTGAGGAATGAAACAATGCAAAGAACCAAACACTTATTTGCCATGAAGACACAAGTTGGTGCTAACTGGTTTATCTGATTTCACTTTCCTTGTATTTGGAGTCCTGAAGGTTTTGTTTTATTTTAATGCAAGTATTTTCCATTTAGATAATAGTCTACTTATTTTTAAAGTATTATTTAAACTTAAACATATACTGTTGCAAACTTTACATCTCATCATTTTACTTCTCAAACAAAGGCCAGGTCTCTAATTGCTCCCTTCACTCACCCCCGTTGCCACCCTGGAGCCTCACTACTATTTATTTGCACAGTGATTGAGCTTTCCAAAAGTCCAAAGATCAGATCATGTGCTCTGATAAGCAAATGACCCAACAGTTTGAATTAAACAGAGAAGAATTAAGAAGCTTTGAAAGTTCAGTCTTTCCTTTTTCCTCCAACTCCAATCTCTTTTCCCAAGAAAATATGTACCTCATCCTTGCCTCCTCTCAGAAAGCAACATCAGTTACAATTGTTTTGTTTTGTTTTAAATAAAATCCCCTCATCCAATATAATCAGGCATACCAAGGTATGCAAATGAAGAGACAGTAAGCTAAATTCACTCTATAAATATAGAGGAGGCTGAGGACGTGTATCAATTACCTTTTAAACAATTACTTTTTTAAACATATTTGAGTTTGTGCCTTTAGGCCAGGTGTGTGCCCTCCCCGCCACCTCATTGGCACCACTCCCTAAAGAATTCCACCTGGTTGTGGAGCACATTCGTGTCACCTACGTGATTTCCTAAGGTGTCTGGACTGACCTGAGACCAACACTGACTATATGCACGCAAGTACGTATGTCTTCCACCAACAGGGAATATGCCTTCTTCTCAAACATCCAGAAAATATTTGTAAATATTGTTTCAAGAACAGGTAAACGAATGAACGGAACGTTAGAGGCCATCTTAACATCATTAAAATTTAAAAGATCTTAACAGATGAAGAAGAAGCACTGAAACTAAGCGTTGCATATGGAAGAATTACCCAAAGCTTTCGGGGAAATTCTATTTTTGAGGACCAGATTAAGTTGGATCACAATTTCAAACTATCACCCATTAAAATAAATTTCATTTAAAAGTAAAAGCAGAAAACAGGTGGAAATACGTCTATTTAACTGATCTCAGAATGGATAAGCCCTTTTTAAACATAGACACAAGTTAAATACATTGTTAGGAAACGTTGTTAAATTTACCCACAGAGAACTTGAAGCCCACTCAAGGACAAAACCTGATAAAATTATAAGACAATTCAAATGGAGAAAACTATTTCTATCAACAATGACAAACAGACATTTAATAATATTTACTATATTAAAAACCCTCAAATGTACAAAAAGGACACTGAAACTTTTATTGAAAACGGACAAAGCATGTGAATAGAAAATTCACAGAAGAGGGCATATAAATGCTTAACATGTAATAAAGTATTCAAGGTACTAATAAATAGACATACCAACTAAAACAGAGAGAAAACATTGATTGTGTTGTCTAATTGTTCTTTTTTTTTAAGATAAGGGTGCTGCCGAGAGTGCAGTGAGTAGGGTGTTTCACACCCAGCTCGTAGGATAAACTGGTATAAACACTCTGGAAAATAATCAGACAACGTGAACAAAGATGACTGAGTGCGTTGCTGTTTAACCTAAAAGAAACAGAGATAAGAATAAAGATTTATACCGAAGGAAATTTATGACAGAACATACGTAAAATCAAATATTGGAAACAACCTAACTTCCAATAATAGAAAAATAATTAAACAACTAATCTTTGAAGAAGATTAAATGACATGTAAATATAGTATAGGTATTCGTATATGTCAACTCAGAAAAATTCTAAATCATATAAAAATCGCATAGGAAATGAAATATTGATTGTATTTAGGTAGTACAATTATAAAAGTTATTTTCTCCTAAAAACTGTTTACTGTTTCTAAATTTTGCAATATGTGTGTATTAGAAATACCTTTATAAAGTATTTCTTGAGTACTGAGTGTATTTTTTCAATGGTTTGGAAATCGCTAATGCAAACACTTAAAATATAGCTTTATACCACAGTAGGTTTGCCACTGCTGTCACAGCACAGAGCTCAAATCCAAAGCATCTACTGCAAGCCTAGGTGTTAGAGACAGCAGACGGACAAGAAATTTTCTGGCCCTTGGAAAGTGTCCAGTCTAATGAAGAGACAAGAAAGTCAACCATGAGAATGCAATGTGCTAAGGGCTGTACCTGAGGCATTCACAGCCTGCAGGACAAGCACAGCTGAAAAACAGTGAATTCAGCCTAGAAGACGGTGTCAGAAAAACTTCCGAGGGTGACCTTTGATCTGACTCATTCTTCCTCATCTCTCTTTTCTTCTTTTCCCAGTATATTAGAGACAGAGGAGACACAGTAAAGAGATAGAGCCTTTAAATTTGGCTCTATCATTTAATACAGTCATGTTATGAAGGATTCTTAAAATCAGCTGGAGAAGGTTATTTTTACTCCTCTGCGGCAAGTTGTGGAGCAAGAGACCACCAGCTGCCAGCCATTAACTGTATCATGGTCTGTCTCAGCTTTCCAGCCAAAGTCACTCTTTTTCTGAGAGTGGAGGAGACTAGCAATGAGTCAATAAGACAGTGATACAGGGGCTGGCTACTTCCACCCAATGTGGGGCCCCTGGAAGGGACAATTGTTGCTCCAGACCTCTCTGTTGGGTTGCCCCAGGTGAACATCACAGTCTGAAGGCTTCCCCTTGTCCGTTTCTGCCTCTTTCCTTCTCCTTGTGCTCTTCTACTCAGTCTCCTTATCTGCTTCCCAGAGAACCCAACCATCACACGGGAAATGAGTCAAAAAGGCCCAACGTGTGGGTAAAGAAGAGAAAAGGAACAGGACCAGAAGAAAAAAATATTTGGCCTCACATGAGATGAAGTTGGCCAATAGCAGTATAATTTTCTTTCTGGTAATGTCCTCTGGTCTGTGGCAGGCATTAATAAAAAGCGCACAAGGGTCATAGTGGGGTGATGGCAAGCACAGCCGTCAGGAGCAATTAGGACATTAAGGGACAGTTGCCAACTGATTGGTTTGCATGAATAAAGCAGAAAAAAATGAAGATAGGAAGATGGCAAGAATTCAAACTGGAAAGTCAGGAGCTAGGCCATGGAGAATGTTGCACCCTAAGTCAAATAAATGAGCATCTTTCCTTTCAACTTTCTTAAATACCTTCTTTTTCACTTCCACTGTTTCTATAGTCTTACAAGAGGACAAGGGAATTATAACATGAAAATCCCGAGTGAAATTGATTGATATTATCATACTTTCAGTGAATACTGGAAATAAACATGAAATATCAGAAAGGAAGTATTCACTTTCCAAGGACTGCTAGAATATCTACTTACCCTTATGTCTGGTGTAATATTTCATAGGCACACATTAGACTATTCACTCCAGTGATGACAAAAAAGGTGGCAGGTTGAGCACATGTAAGATTTAGTTAAGATATGAGTTTTAAGGTTTTTATCACCAGTGTCCCCTCAGACAGTAACAATTTTTCTGTGATGTGGTCTCTCCCAGATCAAACTTTCCAGATGTCTGTGCAAAACTGTATGTAACCATCCAGCCAGAGAGCTCTTCTTTTCTGTGACATAAGTTTGCCTTTCAGGCGTGTCACAATCACTTAACCATCACTCACACCCACTTTGCATGGACACCTATATCAAATTGATTGTTGTTTACAAGGCCTTGGAACTAGACTAGTTCCTCATGGCCCTTACTTCACTGTTATGTATCACACAATGACAAGACAGTAAGTATATAAATTCATTTTGTTTCTAGTGTTATAAAAAGCAGAAGAGCTCAAACAGTCCATAGGTATTCTCCTAAATGGGTATCTTCCAGTGACATGCCGTGGCCCTCACTGGTTGACACTGCCCTATAAAACATTCCTAATACAGATGTCTGTGTCCATGGTGATGACTCAAATGGGCTTAAACTGAGAATTGCTTAAAAGCAGGGGTTTTGTCTTAATAATTCTATCTGTAGTGCCTAGGACAACCAACAGAAAGCAATTTCTGATTTTTGTTTCAGCTTCGCAAATCAGAAATATCTCCTCTGAAAGTAGAGTAATATGCATCGTTCTGGGGACTATGCCCACGAGCTAGAAATAGAAATGAAAAAGAAAAAAATCCAAGAGCTTAGTAAATTATAATTTTTAGTAAAGGTCTTTATGAAGCAAATGGCCCATAAGAATCCATCCTCAGTGGCCTTCTCTCCTCCAGTCATATGTAGTTAGCCTCTGCAAAGCCTGATGGGCCACTGGCCCAGCATGAACTTCATAAAATGTGGGATGCTATCATCTGCAAATACGCTGCGCTTCCTCCAAATTAATTTCTCTGACATTAATGAAAGTTCTGCAGTTGTGAACGTTTATTACCAAACAGGTTTAAAATGTCAGTCTTGATTTATTTTCTATTATAATCGTTTTATAGCATGTTTTTTGCCCCCAACAGGATTGTCATCAGTTAACCAATAAGAAGGACAAAAAATAAAGAAAAGAAAAGGAAACTGATATGGATAAACTTAAACAAAATTGCCAAAGACAACACAAGTTAAAAATGTAACGCCACTTGATTTGCCTTCCCTTTCTGTTTCTCCCCCTATTCCTCTCATTCCTCCAAGAATTTCTGTGAACTACACTGGACAGATTAACACATTAAGGCCCTGACTCTTGCTCTTGGGATCTTGAGCACGAATTACAATTGTGCAGATTTTTAAAAGGCTTCATCTGAGAGCTTAGCTAAAGCGGAGATGCAAGATCAAAAATAGTAATGATTTCTAGAAAAACAGATAAACAAACAAAAGTAGAACTTAACCATCTAAGCAAATTATAAAACTAGCAGATTGTTCAATGTTTTTCATCATATTCTTTAATTAACAACATGACAGTTGACTATAAATTTGCATGCTAACCTTGACCAAAATGCAGAATAAAAATCTAGTTTAATTTGAACCAGGGAGGTTAATAGGCAAAGCTTTATTTGAGAAATCCTCTTGTTAAATTCATCAGAACTTAATGAAAATTACGAAGTAAATTAGTTTGCCTTTGACATTTTTCCCAATTTAAGAAAGAATCTTCTCCTCACGTTTGGTTCTCCCTCTGATCTATCTCTTGCTCCCTTTAAAACAAATTATTATGTTTTCTTATTACTAAAATAGTGTATGTCCTTTAGACAAGATTTAACATGGGAAAGTGCTATGTATCTCCATGTTATCACTTACCAATTATATTGACACATTTATGTGACTCCTTCCCCAGAATATAAATTCTTCCTGTCAGAAACAGACACTTTGAGATTCCAGCACCTTAAACAGTGAACAGCACATAGCAGAGGCTCAACATATGTTTTTTTATTAAAGTAAACAAACAAAAAAATACCCATAAGCTCACCACCCAGAATTATTTACTTATTTTTTTTCATTTCTTTCCAATTTTTATTCTATTCTTTCTGGATCACTTTTCTAAGTTGGAAAATAATTCCAAAAAAATTTGATAAGAAAACTCTAACATTCAAAAAGCCTCAAGAGCCAACAAATAAATCTCAAGTGGTAGAAATGAAGGCATCAGAAAAGGAATATATTCCAGAAAGCCAGAGAGTTTACTGTCATTACTGAAATTGTGACACACACCACTGCACTTTCTCATAATGGTAACGCTCTGCTATTAAGGAATCAAGAGTTTCACTATAAGGGAGAAAAGATGCAATATGTGATCAAAGAAGGTAAAGAAGAGCTAAGCAATATTAAATGCAAACTGGAAATATTAGTAGGGGCTCGAGATTTTTTTATATATGTTTTCCAGCTCTACTCTCTGGATGGATGTAGAAACAATGACATCTCTGTAACAATGAGCACATTTTATGTCCAGACCTTGTATTCTAAACATCATTCTCCACTGAAAGAAACCAGAGAAACTTGGAGAAATGCTTATTCCAGGTCTAAGTCAGGGGAAATATAAAGTAAATCTGAAAAATCTTGTTGCACTAGAAAGAAATAAAAGTGCTCAAAGACTTGTGGGGTTGTATTAGTTAGCAATTGCTATAAAACAAACTACTCCCAAACTTAGAGGCTTAAAATAATAAATACTTATATGTCCCAGTTCTCTGGGTCAGAAATATGAGGGTGGCTTAGCTGGGCCTCTGGCTCAGGATCTCTCCCAAGGCTGCAGGAAAGTCATTAGCCAGGCTGCACCCTCTCAGGCTCATCTGGGAGAGGATTCAATTTTAAACTCACTCATGTGGCTGTTGACAATATTTGTTTCCTCGTGGGCTGTTACACTTAAAGCTCAAGTTTCTTGCTGGTGATTGATCAGAGGGCTCCCTCAATTTTTAGCCATGTGGGCTTCCCCATAGGGAAGCTGACAACATTGTGTCTAGCTTTCATTAGTGTGAGCAAACAAGAGAGTAAGAGAGAACTAGCAAGACAGAAGCCACAGGTTTTTCATAACCTAATCTCTGACATGGCGCAGCACTGCTTTTGCCCTATCCTATTTGCTGGAAGTGAGTCACTAGGTCCAGCCCACACTTAAGGGGAAGGATTGTACAAGGGCATGAATATTAAGAAGCAGGGATCATTGGGAGACATTGCAGTGGCTGTCTATCACACAGAGCAGGTCAGAGATCAGAGGAACAAGCTTGAATGGGCTCCAATTGAATGGGCTATTTAGAAAGATTTGATCATTAATAAAAATAACTATGATAATTGATTATGATGCAATGAATTTAAAAAAAAACATGAGTCTAAAGCTATTAGAAAAGCTGGGGGAAAAGAAGAATTTCAAAGTGAGTAAAATGTGTTGTTTGGATTCAGATTGCCATTTTAAACGGGAAATCTAGACTTCTCTTTTGAAAACTCACAAATTCTCTTTAAAAATTCTATAATTCACCCAATCTAGACTTCTCTTTTGAAAACTCACAAATTCTCTTTAAAAATTCTATAATTCACCCAGTTTTCATGGAAAGTTTATTCATATATTTGATCCAATAAAGATTTTGGTCCATCTCTAAAAAAAGAAAAGGTGGGAAGTGGAGGGGAAGTACAGTCTTATTTATAAATGAATGCCAGCCAATAAATTTAGGAGGAATGAGAGAATTAGAAAATCACCATTTTGTAACCCCCAATGTAATAAATGATTCAGGCAAGGATTATTAAAAGGAGCTAAACCATTTGGTGAAACATAGTTATTTAACAGAACAGTCAGCTAGTGCAAAATATCATCTAATCGATTAAATATTAATTAAAAAGAGGAAAAAGTAAGCTTTTTTCAATACTAATTCTGGCAGTCAGCTCCTTAGCCAGTCGCTAACAGTGGGACAACCATATATTATGTGCTTCCTGATATAATGTAATACAAAGTATAGATCAGTGTCTACAACATCTTCTTGCCATAAATATTTAAACTTTCTCTATTCAAGCTTTTAGACCAAACATCCAAATTACAGAAAATAAAAGGGACAGAGAAACAACTTAAATGACGCCATGAGGAAGTAATCAGACAAATCCAGAATGTGTGACATCTAAGAGAAGATTACCCTGGACTCCTCAAAAGTCACTGTCATGGGGTAAAAATAAAAGAATGGAGGCCTGTTCTAGATAAGACTAAAGAGAGATCAAAACCAAATGCAATGTGCATATCCTTATTGGATTGTGTGTAGGAAAAAATAAATTGCTGAAGTCTCTGGGGGATGCCATCCAAAGAGGTTGCAGACATATAGTATGAGGATATAAAATAGCATTTATTGAGTGAAAGGTTTAAAGCAGAGAAATAGTAGAGTGCATATATTTCCCATAACTCTTATAATCTCACAGTTTAGGCCGGGCGTTGACGACCTCTAAGTGCCTGGCCAATGTGCAGTAGAGAGAAGCCCTCCTCTACTGAAAAGGCTCTTCCTGTTTATAGGATGTAGCTTGGGCAGGAATAATCTATGCAATGATCCAACGCTGGAAGCTCCCAGTTTGAGGAAATGGTCTCACGAGAAATATGGAGCCTCCAGGGTCCAGTGGCTGGTGTCAGGCTCCTCGTCCCTGGAACTAACTTACACTTGCTGAGAAGCTCTCTGCTAAGCTACTGAAGAGAACCTCCAAGAGCATTGGGGAATCTCATCAGAGGACAATTGGAAAATTTTAAAATGCACAGGATACTAAATAAAATGGTTGAATTACTGTAACTTTTCTTAAGTGTGATAACAGTTTTGTGGTTATGCATAAGAAAGTCCATTATTCTTAGAAGGTGCGTGCTGAAGTATCCAGAGGTAAAATGCCATGATGTCTGCAACTTATTTTCAAAGAGAATTAAAAAAAAAAAAAAAAGAAATGGGGGCTGGCCCCGTGGCCGAGTGGTTAAGTTCGCGCGCTCCGCTGCAGGCGGCCCAGTGTTTCGTTGGTTCAAATCCTGGGCACGGACATGACACTGCTCATCAAACCACGCTGAGGCAGCGTCCCACATACCACAACTAGAAGGACCCACAACGAAGAATATACAACTATGTACCGGGGGGCTTTGGGGAGAAAAAGGAAAAAATAAAATCTTTAAAAAGAAAGAAAAGAAAAGAAAAAGTGGGTGTGTGGTGAGAGAGAGGCAGAGACAAAGAAATAAAATGTGGCAAAATGTTAGCAGTTGCAGAATCCAGGTGACTGGTACGTAACCGTTCATTGTGCTGTTGCTTATACCTCTGTGGAGTTCCGAAATTTTCAAAATAAAACGTTGGGGGGAAATGAGGATTGTCTTAACTCTTACGTAAATTAGAAGTAAATTTACAAAGCACGTGAAAACATGCTTTCTAGTTCTTCTTTTCTAATTTAAAAAATCAGTAACGTAAACTCAGAGGCTAGACGGCTGGCTGCAAATAATTGACCTTTGGAAGCCAGATTAAATTATTCAAGACAAGTTGGTTCCTAGAACACTGAAATGAGGACATGGCAAATGTGTGCTCATGGGGAAATTTTATCCAAGTCATTTTGAATCTCTTTTTGTGTTTAATTTAAAATTTATCTATTACGCATAGTTGGCATATTGGCTATTTGATCGCCTCGGCTGTGACATTAGTCCAGCAAAATTTGAGACAAAATCCACTGTCATTGAAAAGTATTTTTCTTAACTATAGTAATGTTTATTCCTCTAATAAAGTATCCCTTACTCTCTACTTATTGCTAAGCCATCATTTGTTAAACTAAGGTGTTTTGTTAAAAAACGTGATACTGGACCAAGAAACAAACAAAGGGAATAAAAGAAGACCGTTTCACTTGCTGGCGTTCTCCGGCTTCCAACGGCTAGGTCTTCAGTACCTGCGATTAAAGCAGAGTTTATTGTCCTACCTAACTTCTCCACCATGACCTTTTTCTCACTCTTGTCCAATAAACATCTGCTTCAACTGAATATTTGAGCTGCCTAAGAAATAAATAGCATATTTTGCCCCTCATTCTTTCTCTGATATTCACGTGTGCCTCTCATCTACCTCTAAATTGTTAGATAGTACTCAACACTGAAAAGGGGAAAAGAGGCTCATTAGAATCAAATTTACCTATACATGTGAAGCTCAGTGAGGTAGTATGCATTAGATACTGGGGAAG